AGGTTTTTGTCTCACTCCTGAATACAGATCGCTTTCCAAAGTAACAGCTCTATGCAATCTATGAATTAAGTGGCGATCTCTGTAAGAGCGGTCCTGGGCATTTCGCATCGGAAAAAGTTTTCCCTCAAACTTTGCCCAATATACTATCTTTGGTAACAAGTAAATAAAACCACTTTAGTTTCTGGAAATACGTTAAAATAAAATTTTAGACCTCTCAAAAGTGAAAGCTGCAAAAAGGCTTTTTTGACCCCTGCGACATCATATCACCAGAATTCTGATCCAAAAGGCGATGTTATCGCTGCTTTATTACGAAGAGAGAAGCAATTTAGGACAATTACACAATTGAATTACGTGACAGAGGTCACGGTGTATTTCAGTGAGTGCTGTTATCGCCGGTTACACCAAATAGAATACTGTGGTTTGGTTTTGAAATGTTCATACAGGTTTGAATAGCGTACGCTGTCAGAACTCAAATATGAAATAACAGAAGCCAAATTTTTAAAAAAGAGTTTGCGAGCGCTAATCAAATTATGATATTCGATAGGTTGTTGTTGACGTCTTTCGTCACGAGATAATAAAATTTGTCAAATTTTGGCGTTTTAAAATGTTTAAAGTGTTAATCGGTGTGGTCTTAAAGCTCTGTCCTGCTACATTTTCTACTTAAAATGGTTAAAATCTAAGATTTAGTGAGCTACTAATATAAAACGGTCGGAGTTTGCTCAATGAACTAATTTGCATAACCGGCTGTCACGCTAGCAATACCGCTAACAGTTTGAAGAAAATCAACAAGTGCTAGATTTTTTATATTTTTCTGCTGCCAAACATCTTATTAGCAGAAATCAAGCGGAGTTTTTAATGGTCTGGTCTGGACTTGAGCAAATCAATCAAGAAAGAAAGAGTATTTTTGACCAATTTCAGAAAGCTGTCCAACGAGTGTTTTTAAATAAACTATGACGAGCCTCTGAATAAACGAATATCAAAATTGAAATGCATTTTATACACCTTATGTATCACACAGTTTAAGAATACAAAATATTTTTTTGCTGCATGCGAAAATTCTGCTTTCTTTTTCAGTCTTTCGTTTGGCTTACACTTCCTTATAAACTCTCACTTTCCGCCATCTATTTCCCTCCAATTTTTTTTGTTCGCGCGTAGCCGCGTAGCTCTTAATAACCGGAATAAATCTGCTTTCAGAAACGTTATTTTTCTCCTAGATTAGCTATCCTAGGTGTGGAGAACTTTTGTGACTGTAGCGTGACAAGTCGTCACGCTAATAAACTTGTGATTATTGTTTTGTTTTAGCTATTGTTGATTTCATCTCGAGTTTCAATCATGTGATATATCGTTTCCGGTAAGAAACACGTGATCTTTGGAATCTTTTTGTGATCATTGGAGTGAATTCGGAACAATAAATAAACAGAAAACTTGTGGATTTACGTGAGTCTTCAGTGTCTCTGGGAATCAGGAAATTCCCCACATAGGGATAAGAAATTTAATCGTCGATTAACCTCTACTCGAGGGATAATTTATCGGCTTTCGAACAACTTGACTTCTCTTGAAATAAACTGCAAAAAAAAAAAAATAATAATAAGGGCTTATGTTTTGAGGGGTTTTGACAGTAGTATATCTCGGTGGTATAGCGAGTAGACTGTATCTTGTACCACGTGACCTAAATTGACCAATTAAATTGCAGGAATGGCAAAAAGGTAAAAACGCAGTACCTATGGAATGAGGCCACAAGAAAAAGGTGTCACATTAAGGAAAACATTAAGGTCACGCTTTCTTAACAACGAGGGTGAAATTTCACGCAATACTCAAGGAATGACATCACGCTGTCACGTCGAAAATTAAGACATTAATGTGTGCAAATAAACGTTTTTCATTTTACATAAACAAAAATTCCATGATGCCATTTAAATTGGAGAAAGCAAAACTAACTATTGGGATGACATGGTGTTTATTTGAAACCAAAACAGAATCATGTTTTGATGTTTTTCAGTCAACTGACAAGAGATGCAGTGATGCAAAGGCGAGAGCTATTGGAAATGCAGTTTCTTTATTTCTCTTAAATCTGTTTAAGTTTTTTCCAGCATACTCATGGGTGGTTCAGCACGACAGTAAGGGCTATTAGGTTAAAGTTTTTGGTCTTTCTAGGAATGGAACCAATCAAGTAGACACGAATCTGAGTGTATAGGTTGTTTACAACATGGAATTTGTCCCAATTCATCTTCGTTTGTGCAAATTATAAAAATCTTCCGGTCATTTCCATTTTAAATAAATAAAATAAACACGTTTTTTATTTTTACAATCCAAAAAAACTTATATGCTCTGCGAATTGGCAGAAGCAAAAATAATATTGCGAATGGCTTCTATGTTAGAAGCTAAATAAACAGAAATGAGGCGTTGCTGGTCCCAATCACACGTTGTAAATGTACCATCTTCCCTTCTAGAAAGGTAGACAAACATGGGGAGAAGTACACAGCAATAATGAAGTCGTCATCTTGAGCGAAGAAAATGCTTTCATCCCAAGTCCTGTTTCGGATTTGATATCTCCTTTCGACTCGCTCCCATCTGCTCTGATCACAAATGTTTTTCATAGATGGTGGGTTTCTTGAGGGTCTGTCTTATTCAGGTGAGTGGTGGCTTTGCACGGCAGTATGGGCATGACGGTTCGTTGTTTTCTTCTTGTTGTTATTTAAACCAATCTAAGAGGCACGTTTCTTCGTGAATCGGTTGCTGATAGCAGGGAGTTTTGGATAGATTGCCATCGTTACCACAAATGAGACATATCTCACGGTTATAGACATCTAAAAGTAAAAGATGAATCAAATGAGACGTGATTCACTGATGTTGGCCAAGAGGGGTTCAGCGAAATCTTTAGCTATTGAAATAACGATTAAAATGAAATTGAGTTGTAAAAGAATAGATGGGTAATCGTGAGAAATGAGTTTTTTACGTTTTTCTTGCTCAGGATCAGCTTCAGCCATTGTCCAAAATGTTCAAAATGTCAAAAGACAAAAGTTTGTCGCAAGACACAGCACGCGTTTGAAATGAATAACTGCAAATGTGTGGTGTTTTTGTTTATATTCGGGTGAGACGTGAGAATTCGTGACACCAGAAAACGTGAGAATTCGTCAAGCCAGAATAGGAGATACCCTCGTATTCAAATCAGAATAGGATATACCCCTATCCCTATTCAGATTTTTGTCAAACTAGTAAGGGATACCCCCTATCCCAATTCAGATCTTTTGTCAAACCGGTATGGGGATACCCCCTATCCCTATTCAAATTGATTGGTCAAATCGATATAATTATATTTCCTTTCTCTAATCAGGTTTTTTGGTGACGTCAAAGTTTGGCGCCTTCAGTGAGAAAAAATTGCTTTAATCATGTCCAAAAGAAAGAAATCAGAAGACGAGTCCGATAAGGAATTGTTGAATTTTATTAAAGAAGAAACGATACAACGCCAACACAAAGAGGGTGTGTCTATCGTGACGCAACTAACCACAAAGCTGTAAATTGTAACAAGTTCATGACAGTTGGAGACCGCAGGAAGCAATTAGGTCTGAAACAACTGTGTTTTAATTGCACAGGAAGTCGACACCGCGCTTTGAGTGCAAATGCCGTTCTGGCTGCCAGATCTGCAGCCGAAGACATCATACATCGATCTGTGACAAACATACATCGCGAGACCAGCTGATGACCACAAAGAGCGTAGAAAGGAAAGGAGTGGTGTATCCTATGGTTACAGTTGACGTGAATTGTGTTAAGTGTCGAGCATTGTTGGATACGGGAGCCGGAAAAAACTGAAATTGAAACGCACACCAACTTGAAATGAAATGCATACAAACTTTAGAATAAAAACGCACGCAAACTTAAAATAGAACGTACGCAAACTTAAAAAAATTTGAACACAAACGTAAAGTCAAACGGACACAAACTTAAAATGAAACGCCCGGACTTTTAAAAAGTTAAATAAACGGACCCAAACCTAAAATAAAGCGAATACAAACTTAAAATTAAACGAACACAAACTTAAAATCGGAAACGAACACAAAACTTAAAGTTGGAAACGAACACAAACTTAAATTAAACGAACAGAAACAAATAATGAGGCCAGGCTGCTAAGTATACGAACCACATGTACGCTTCGCTGCCGCCATTTTCATGTGCTGCCAACTGGCAAGGAAGAGTTGAGCATTCTATGTACTATTATTTTACTTGCATATTTTTGGCTGTAAGGAAATCGAGGACAATTTATTTTCTTAGTTTGTACTTCTTGTGTCTAATAATATACAAAATTCTCATGTCAAAGCTATTTAGACCGAAAACGACGATGACACGATGGTCGGTTGCTATGTAAATTCCTCCCGTTGCTATCTTAGAGGTCACGTGATGACGCGTTCACGGCTTGAGCTGATTTAAGGCGTCAAGCTAAAGGGCTTTTTTCAGTCGTTTATTTTACATTGGATAAAGCTTACCAACCTTCTTTTTTTCATATTGAATGACTATGGCCTTTCACTTATGGCAGAAGAAAGAAAAAATCAGGTTTTTCGAATGACTTCTCCACGAAACGGCTCGTCTAAGATAGGTACGCTGCCGGCTAGCAACGGGTTTACAGAAGCCAATACGTCAACACAACCGCTGTGATTTCTGTATTTCTAGAGTCCTGGTACTGAGAGAACAATTTTTTACTTAGGGGGCTCCACTGTTAAGACAAACGCAGAACAAAAACGAAGAAAATACACCCAAAATACCTGTCCTCCTTCCTAAAAAGTATAATTTTGACCGTTTAGTTACCGAGCGTGCCATAAATCGAAAGTTGAAAGTGGACTTTGGTGTAAATGGCGTCGTTTTCGCCGATTTCTTCGGAGGAATCCAGGTAAGAAAATGTCCTGTAAACTCGATTTTCTCCGTTGATCAGTTTAGGCCGCCATCTTGAATTTCCTCAGGCTCAATGTCGAGTGTTTTATTTCATCTGTAGCCCTGAAGGAGACCGTAAATGTTGCGGAAAAAGCCGAAAATGCAGCAAAGGGAAAGGCCATGTGGGCAAATGTGATTCGAAACGACAAGTAAATTGTTTCTGGGAAACATCGCCCATTTTTAACATTCATAAGGAGCGCCAAACGCTCCAAGACAACTTTCGCCATCTTCAAGTCCAAGAAGATGCTTTATCCAAGAAGGAGCAAGATATCTTGGCTTTACAAAGGGAGACAGATTCTCTAGTGGAGGAATCAGGTTAGTTTCCTACTTGTAAGTGGGTTAGTTGCGGCAAGATAAACGGAATTGATTACTATTTATTCATTTATTTGCCGTTTTGGAATTGTCATTATTTTGATGATGATTCCCTATCCTTGTTTATAGAAAGAGCACTGCAAAAATCAAAAGGAGAGAAAGAGACACTAGACAAAGAAATAAGTGAAGCAGAGGAGACACTGAGAGAACTAAAGGAGGCATATGAGAAAGTGAAAAAGCTGTTGGAGCAGAAGGATTATTCCCGAAGACGAAGGAGTGCTGCTAGCACATCATATGAAATGATTAATGATTATAAGTCGAGCACTAGATATAGGAGAAGGGAAGAAACTAAAAACATTTTAGAATTTATTCATGGGGGTTTTGAAGCTTCATTGTATGGGGCATGGGATTTTTTGGCTGCCAATGCAAGTAATGAAACCATGACCAAATTAATGAGTAGTTATAAGAGGGGACGATTTCTTCAGGGTATTTTTGAGAGAGCCATTAATGATTTTCAGAAGTCAGAAGAAGTACTGAAACAGTCTGTGGCACTTAAATATCAGAGTTATCTGTCTAGAAGAAAGTATAATCTTGTCTGTAAAACACAAAGTTCATTTTTTAATGCTGAAAAAGAAGTCTGGCTGCCACGTAACATTAAATGTCTTGGAGTTGACTTAAGGTTACCCAAGCTCAGCTTCTCAGATGACAATGTTGACAAGTTTGTGAAAAGTTTAGACATTGGTCATGTCACACAGATCCCAGGGGTATCAGGTGTTTCTCGCACAGTCACTGGCCTGGTGTTTATGATTATTGATTTGCACTTGAGAGTTCCCCATCTTTCTCGTAAACTTGTCTGGTTCAATGAAAATGAAAATCATTTTATTTTTCAGTTCTCAGATGATGGAGCTCCTGAAACAAATGAGCTGACAATGTCAATAGGAAGTATGGTGTGCTGGAACTTTGGAGATCAGGTACGAAGTAGGGACTTCCAGTACCTCCTCCACTGTGTAAGTGTAGAAGAGAAAGATCAAATAATGCATGACCTCTGGAAGCAGCACACTGAAGAGATAAAAATGTTGGAAGGTAATGTTTTGACTGTTTGTGATAAGGAGTGCACTGTTGAATTTCAGCCTGGAGCAGACATGTCCTGGCAGAGCTGGGCTGCCAATGAACTCAACCAGGCAGCTACATATCCTTCCCCATATGCAAATGTTCATAAAGGAAACATGAACACTATGGGGGGTAGTATTGGAGTGGGTAAAGATGACACCTGGAAGCCTTACACTATGGAAATGAGAACCTCTAATACTGAGAAGGTAAACAATTTTATCGCCTCTCTTCCCCCAAACCTTTCAGAAAAAAATAAAAATTCCAGAAAGTTGCAGTTTATGGCTGAAAATGGCATCCGACAGTTAGGTCTACCAAGGATTGGGCATTTTGCAGACAAGTTAAGGCCAGAACCCATGCACTGTGAGATCAATGCCTGGCAGCATTATATTGATCTCCTATATCTAGAGGCAGTAAGAAGAGGAAAGTTTGATCCTTTTGTTTCTGCCCTGGTAGCACCTATAGGGAATAGAGATGGAGATGTTAAGGTGGGACAACCCCAAAAGACTCTTTTGAGGGTTTCTGATATAGACAGTGTTGGGGAACGTGCCAGAAAGCAGGAAATGTTGCAGAAATCAGAGGAGGACCTAAAACAATACCTGCAGAAGACAGGTTTTCCTCATGTAAGGCATGCAACAGGTGAGGGGGGGGTGTGGACTGGGATACTTGGCTTCAAGAGTAAAAGAACATTTTAGTGATGAAACTAACAGGTATAACAAATTACCAGTTAGGCTTATTGGCAATCAAGCTATTGCATTGGCTCGATATTACTACCGTTTAGTTGACACTTTAGAAAATGAAGATGAAACAGAGGCACAAACAATCCAACGACTGGCTCTTAGCAAGATAGGTGAGTATCTGAGAAATGCTGGGGGGCTTTTTAATAGAATAGAGACCAATTCTGCTCAGGTTGCAGAACTGAAAGAAATGTGTAGTATGTATTTTAACCTGATGTCTTTGTTTTTTTCATCCAGCGTTAATGTCACAACATGGACAATTGGATATGCCATTCCCTATCATGCAAATTTGCTGTGTACAAGGTATGGGGTGGGCTATGGCATTGTCTCTTTGCAGGCTAAAGAGGCCAAACATTCTGGAGTGAAGGAAGATTTGACCCTAACTAACCGGTCAAATGTAAGTACTGCCACTGGTAAATGGTGGCAAGTAATGCGAAGTAATTATGTTCGCTCATTTTACCTCCCAGAACATCAACCAATGCCCTCTTCTTATACCCTCACACTACCAATCACGTTCTCCACCACACTGTTACCAATCAAATGTTTGTAATTGTGGTAGAAATAAAGAAAACGATTTGCTCAGTTGTCAAGTTTGTTTCTCTACTATTAACCTTGTGACTTGTGCAAGCAGAGGTCTGACAGAATCAGTGTTGTGTGCACTAAAACCTGTTGTCTGTAAACAGTGCAATACTCGCTTTGCTGATAACCTGTCATTATTGTCTCATTTAAAGTTCTGCAATGCCACTGAGGTAAGAAAGGTAGCTATCCAGCCAACTTTGATGACAGTACCTAGTTTAAAGGAAGCTTTTCGAAGTAGAGGATTAAGCACTGCAGGTACTAAGGAAATTCTAATTAAGCGCCTTGAAGGTGCATTGGCTGGGGAGGGGTAGTTGAATTATTTTTTAATCAACAGTTTAAATCTCTCAAAATATTTGATTTTCAAGTTATTTTTCTTGACCAAGTTGGTGCACAATAAGGCATACTTGTTATGAGAATGATAACTAGGCTCTCAACAAATTCTGTGTACCAGTAATGTGAGTAATATACCTACTTCATAAGAAAAATATATTTAAATTGGTGCAAAGTTTTTTAAATTAGCTATGTTTGTCAGAGAGGTTAAACCTGTCCAAGTGCAAAAGTACTGTTGTCACTGATATCACTTGGTATGCACTGATATATTACATTTAAAACTTTATAAACCCATTATTTTTTTTAACTAACTTGCATTTTAGAGTCAGGGTTTCTGCTCTAATGAATTTATGGAATTTTGTACTTAAAGGTTTGGCCACTTAAGCCTTTACATGCCAACAATAGCATGAATATTCTCTATTCTGTTCTCAATATATTTTACAAGGTGTTGACAAGGAGAATTTGCTAAATAATCAAGAGCTTCATTAGTTAATAATTATTTCCCTCATTCTTGTGACCTTATATTTAATTTGGGGTTAATATTGTAAGAAGAAATTAGATTCTAGACATTGTAAGGGGTCAAAGGGTCAATAACTAGTGACCCAGCATTTTGCTTATGTGGACACAATACATTTGTTTTATTTATGGATTTGTCTCAAATCAAAGGTAAACGAATTTGCAGCTTGATAGTTTTAAGAGTAAGATGAAGTATACACAGATAAATGAAATTTGTATCTAAAAGGAGTAATTCTGTATACTGATAGATAATTTCATAAATGAGTCAGACATCATTGTTAGTCAAATAATAAAAAAGCTTTCAGCTATTATGTTTAGGTAAAACCATAATTCTATTTATTCACTCCAATGTATTACAGTCTACAAGATACGAAGATTAAATTTTAAAATATCTCCTTGTATTAAAAACATGTTTCCTTTAGAACTTTGTTTCAGATTACATTCAAGGTTGTCATTCTTTTGATGTATGAAGTTTCGTGACAAGGTCTAACAAAACATTAGCAAGTCCTACTGTTAATTAACTGTCAAGCTAGATAGTGTTCAAATTCAATAGCTTTTGCATATTGGAGTCCTTTGCAAATCCTTCTCGATCATAGCGCTGCACGCAAAATGTGGTTACTACCCTTTGTTGTTCTGCTGAATAAACCATTTGCAGCGGCGTAGTTGGTGTTACAACAACAATTGACTTGCCGCTGTAACTTTGAAGCACGCGACCATCCTCGGGGATTTTCTCGAAGTGCCGCTTCTTGAGAAAATTCTCTCCTTTAAATCTCGCGGGAGACCAAATTTTTTCTGCAGTGTCGAGCCTTTGGAAAGTTAGCGTTATTCTCTCACCATTCTAGGTTGTGTCCGCGCTTCCCCCGTAGCCCTGCACTAAAACCCAGATATGTTTAAAGATTTGAAATGGCATAAAGAGAGTGATGGGCGCCATAAGACCGGTCATTCTAGAGCGAGCGAGCTTCGCATTAATAGAGAGCCCGAACTCCTTTAGGAAGCCATTCACCAAGGGACCTACAAGCTCCAACTTGTTGCCTGTGAGCTCTTCCAACACGGGATCAAGGTCTCTCATCCCGTAATTAGGTTTATTTTCTGCGAAACGAACCCTCCTCAACCATTCTTTCTCCGCAGAGAACTTCATCTCTACGGAGTTGGTATTCCAAAACCGGTCTCCTCTCTCTGTTTCATCCTCCATGCCGAAGTGCCTTAAACAGAGTTTGTTTGATGTGCTCGCGCTGTTATTATTTGCCGCCATTTTTGAATAGGCCTTTACCTTTCGTGCCAACTGCCGCTGATGATTTCTGCGCCAGCGCGCATCAGAGTTGCGGGAGGAAAACCCATGGCAACCGACCATCGTGTGAGTGAAAATGTCTATTCATGGCAGGGCTCGCCATCGTGGAAAGAGTACGAGTCGACAAACTTCATATAGCATAATGACAGATCCATTATGTCCTCAGGGTATATACGTTCTGTATCCTTGCCGTAACATAATCGGGTGGTTTTTCCGCTAGTGGGGATTCGAAGTTAGGACCGCAAGCACGAACCTGTATATAATGTAAAGAGAATTTCTCAATTCCAGATCCTAGCATTGTGTGAGCAACCATGTGCTCACTCATCGTGGAACATTGAGCATTGTCGTTGCATGAGTCAAGATCGAAATTAAACGGTGATTTATGATAGGAAATGCATAGTTGATGTGTTTTCTCGCATAAATTAACTCTAGCAATCGATGGAAAAATTAAGTCAACTCTTGCCGTTTTTGAACCTCTGGTACGTCATTTTCATTGCAATAACTTATAACAAAAAAAAACTTAAAAAAAAATTGGACTTGGCTCGAACTTGAATCGTGCTACGATAATACTTATAGAACATTACCCTTGGCCTTGCATTTGCTTTGTTTCTATACTATAGTAGACCTGAGGCTACATTCACACGGTGCCGAACGAATTTTCGACCGGCCGAAAATTTCGACCGGACATTCTGTTCACACGGAACCGTGCAAAAGTTTCCTTCTGTTCAGATGGAACTGATAACCGGATGAAGTTCGTGACACTTGTCAGTGGTTTTACCATCTCCTCATGCGCACAACGTTTCTTTAACCAAATGCAAAATGGCGTCTAGAAAGAGAAAAGCCAATTCGAATGGTAGCACGGATAACGAATATTTCACTCGGACGGATGAGGAGACAGCACTACTGCTTAATGTTGCTTTATCATATAAAAATGAGAAAACGTGCGAGGGGGAAGAATGGGAATCGATACGAACAAGGTATGAGGAATTACAAGAACTTTTCATTGAAAGATATCCAAACAACGATGAATTCGAAGTAGACCCAGCACAGTTTCCAAACTGTAAGGATACTAGCATATTCTCCAACGAAAAGATTCGCAGCAAATGACCCTGCAAGGGAGGATAACACTGGTGTGACAACCTCGGATGAAAGTGCCAAGGATGCAGTTGAAAAAACTGTTGATGCAAGAAGAAACTTAATTTCTAAGCTAAAAGAGAAAAAAAAATTCCAAGCTTACGAAGAAAACCACAACAGAAAACAGAATGTTAACCCTTGGACACGAAGAACTTTAGTTGAAAAAGAGAATGATCGATAAGCTTGAAAAGTCAGAAGAAAAATACATGGAGAGTATACAAAGTTTTACCGCTAGTTTACATTCTTTAAGCTCCACATTGCAGAATGGATTCAACATGCTGGGGATGATGATGCATCAGAATCATCAGCAGAACCAGCATCTGCAGTACAACCATCCCCAATATCAGCAACAGCAAAGCAACATGTCAGGTGTTTAGCATTTACAGGATCCTTCTCATTTTAATAAGTGTTGAACATTAACATTCACATCGTGTCTACTCTAACTGTTGGATTGTGCACTGTTTTAGCACTCTGTTAACAAAGTTGAGTTGTGTTTATTTTATGCACTGCCAGTTTGCCTGCTCACTAGGCAGAAAGACATGGGTAGGCTTACCTTGTTATTGCACTATTTACCTCAGAGATTTTCAGAGATTTTCAGAGATTTTTTACCAACACATCGTCGCCTACGTGCGTGGTAAGCTCGGCATGTCCTAAACATTTGTAAGATGATATTATGTACCAAAGCTGTAATATTACCGAGCACCGCAATCAATAAACCAACCCGTTCCATCTTCGTATAAAATTGTAAACATATTATTTAACTTAGTTACCACGCATCCATGCAGCCGCGCCTACGCCGTACGAAAATTCGGACGTGAAAGGTGCTCACACCGCGGCGGTCAAATAATTGACTGCACCGGCTAAAAATTCGTCCTCAATCTTGGTGTTCAAATTTTTGAACGCTTGAACGTCCAAATTTTCGTACGTTTGGCGTGCTTCCATGTGAACGAAACGCCTAAACGCACAAATTTTCGGCCGGTCGAAAATTCGTCTAGCACCGTGTGAACGTAGCCTGAATTACAGTTTAATCTGTTGAAGAGGTGGTATAGAAAATTGTAAATTTGCACAGGGAAATAAATTATGGTACCTCAGAAAAAGTTTTCATAACCCTAATTACGAACATTTTTTATTTAGGATGTTTTGTTCAGTTTGCGGTGCTGCAAATATTGGAACAACCTCTTTTTTTTTTGTGGTTCATGTGGTACTCGGTACTCCTCTGCAGCTGGACCCAGTACATCTTCTGTTAGCGGCTCTGACAGTTTGACATTTGAAGAGTTTGTGAGACAAAGAGCAAGTGCTAGAGACCAAACCTTTTTTAACTGTGCTGTGAAAAGGCAGAGAAAGAAAAGCAAATGGAATAAGATTGTGCATGTAGCCTGTGTGTAAAAAGAAAACATTCATAATGTATGTACCTTGATGAATTAAGGATTTTTCAACAGGTGGAAAATACTGTACGCCTGCAAACAGTCAGTCAATTATATTTTTTCTCTTTGATTCTCTTTGTGTTGTATTGTGTGGTATTGTACATGTTAAGAGGTAGAAAAAGTGGCCTGTGTTCATCTCTATATTTTTGTACGTTGATGTTTTAGACCTAAGGTTAGAAGATTCAAGTGAGGAAGAAGACTCTAGCAATGAAGTTGAGGTGGAGATTGATGAAGAGACCATTATCAAATATTATTTTCAACGCGGTTTTAGTAAGTCGATCCAATTCAGGAGGCGATTGACGACCTACTTCTTCCAACTTTGTTCGGTCAATCAGAGCCTCTCCTAACGGGGGTGCGTCTACTTGTCACCTTACAAGCGGCTCAAGGGGTCTGGGCATGCCAAATTTGAGAGCTAAGGCGCCACAACAGTTTGTTGCCTCGAGTCAATAACTACTGCGCACGTAGATTCTATCACATCGCAGAGAACATTTATGGCGCCAGGCGAAAGCTCTACGGAGGAGCTTAAGAGACATCATCGGCAACTTTTTTTTTTTTTTTTTTTTTTTAATTGCAACACGAAGAACACTACTTTACAAAACAAGACGAACACTACTTACAATACCTTTTTTTTTTTGTTACTTATTCTACTTACTATATAATACTTCCTTAGACTGCAATTCTTACCCTACTTTTTTTACAGTTTTTTTTTTTTTTTTTTCGCTTACACACCTATGTATCTATTAAATTATAATTCAAAATGGGTTTCCATTTAGCCTCTAGCATCTTCCTATCATTAAACTTAGCCGCAATGTGACATTCAGTTTCATATTTTCTTTTAACTAGTTCCTTATACGAAGGGAAAAAGGAAGACTATTATTCCTACGGCAATTCCATAAATGTAGCTTACCTAAAACGATTAAGTAATTAAATAAAGAACAATTAGTATCTGTGACACCAATTAAAATAGTCTTTAACTCAAGTTTCCTTTGTTCTTTGGCTATAGCGATCCAATAAGATTCAAATTCTTCCCAAAATGCATGTGAGTAAACACAGTAAAAGAATAAGTGATCAATTGTTTCCGCACTAGTATTGCAAAAAGTGCAAAGATCGCTTTGTATTAAACCTATCTTAGCTAAGCGGGAATTTGTGAATAAAATGTCATTTAGTATTTTAAATTGAAAGCATTGCACATATGTCTCGCAGATACAGGACCTTATTAATGAGAAGGCCTTTTTTGTTTCCACATCATCAATAGAAAATTTAGATTTCAACTTTGTGAAGCCTCTGGACTCTGTCGCCTTACTGGATATAAGCAAACCGTAGAAATCCCTAGACTTGCTAAGTGCTGGATCAAAGATTTTATCACCGATTTTAAATTGCAGTGATCTGACATGATCTTTCTTAATTTCGTGGCATCGAATTCTTAGATGACTTGGTACTGCGCAACGAACACCAGTCCAGGTCAGAAAGTTGGAATCTTTTAAACCATTACGTTTTGCAAGGTTAAAGGACTCTGTGTTACTCAAATCAAATTTTAAGTCGCTTAAAAGAATAATATTTGCGCTATTATAATTATAATAGAATAAAGGTTTGCCGTTTACTCTAATGTTATGATTGTTCCAGATGATTGTTTCACGTAGACTTACAAGATCAAATTTAGAACGAAAATCTGACCACCAGTGTAACATCTCCTTATAAAATATTGGGGAAATGTTATAGTCATTAATATTATAATCACAATGAAGAAAAAATTCTCCACCAAAAGGTTTTAGTAAATGTAATAGATACGCTTTCCAGGGATAAAAATTATCGCTTAGAAATCTTCCAATCCATGAAAGTCGGAGTGACATAATTGACGTTGTAAAATCAGTTACCTTTAGGCCACCAAATTCAACATCATTTATTACTGCTGTCCTGGCGATTTTATCAGGACCCTTCCAAAGAAAATTATATATAATTGATTGAAGGGCCTTTATGAACTCAAAGGAGAAGGAAGAATTGACGAGATGTATAAAACTTTAGGAAGTAGTAAACTCTTAATAATTGTAACTTTACCAAACAGAGAGAGGCCTCTCCAACTCCACAAGCGTATCTGAGATTTAATTCCTTTGAGCTTATCGTAGAAATTTCTTTTGCACTGATTCTTCGTTATTGTAACTAAAGTGAACCCCTAAAGCTTTTTACAGTTTTACGCCATTTCAATGCTAGAGGTGTTTCGATGTTATTACGGGAAGAGCCAATCCACATTGCTTCGGTTTTTGTATAATTCACCTTTAGGCCAGAACATTTTTGGAATTGATCAAATAACTTAAAAAGGTATTGAGCAGATCTGATATCCGACACAAAAGCTGTTAAATCATCTGCATACTGTACCATTTTGAAATCTTTTTCATCTATTTTGATTCCATCTATTTCTGAACATGAGCGAATAGCGACTGCTAGTAGTTCCATAGCAATGATAAACAAGTAAGGAGAAAGGGGGTCTCCCTGCCTTACACCCCGATTTATTTCAAAGCTAGCTGAGAGCGTTCCATTGTTGATAATACAACTTGTTATGTTACTGTAAAAGGTTTCTATCCATCTTGTAAGACTGGATCCAAATCCAAAGACTTCTAAGCATTTGAACATAAAATTCCACTCCAGACTATCAAAAGCTTTCTCAAAATCTATAAAAAGTAGCAATCCAGGGATTTCATAAGTTTTCGTGTAATCCATTATATCTAGAATTGATCTTGCGGCTTCCCTATGTAGCGACCTGAAACGTACCCAGTTTGATTGCTATGAATGATTTCGGGTAAAACTTTGACAATACGGGTCGCTATAACTTTGGACGCAATTTTGGCGTCGACGTTAGTCAAGGATATTGGCCTCCAATTTTCTAAGTAAGTTCTATCCTTGTCCTGTTTCTCAATAAGAGTAATCACTGCCTGTCTCTGAGATGGGGACATTTCCTTCTTCATAAAAGCTTCATTAAATGAATTAATCAAAGTATCACTAAGTAATGGCCAGAAGGTGTTATAAAATTCAAGGGGTAACCCGTCGTTGCCTGGCGTTTTTGCAGTTGGAAAAGTTTTGAGAACGTTCTGGCATTCTTCCGCAGTTATTCTACCCTCACATATTATTCTTGAATCATGTGAAATACTGGGTAAATTTGGACTATCGAAAAAAATCGATGATTCTGCATTATCTAGATTAACATTTCTGCTACGATATAAGTTCTTATAAAATTTGCGTAGTGAATCCATAATCATAAAGGGGTCAGTAGAAATTACACCGCTAATGTGCAGCTTTCTTACATGCTTTTTAACATGGTTGCGTTTCTCGAGATTTAAAAAATATTTGTTATTCTTTTCACCGTGTTCGTGCCATCGAGCTCTTGCGCGTAGTATAATCCCTTCTACTTTGTCCTCGTACAGTGCTTCAAGATCCTGCTTAGATTTTTCTAGTGCCAGACGCGTATTGTTACAAGGATTTGTGTGAAACATTAGGACTGCCTCCTGATAACGTTTATTTAATTCCTCTTCTTGTTTCCGTCGAATGGAAGCTATTTGTTTGGAGAATATGATGGAGTTTGACCTTATATTAAACTTGATCCAATCCCACAAAAGTCTGGGATCATGTATATCTTTACCTGCATCCAGCCAGGTCGGTAAATTGTTTGTTATCATATGTTTATAATTTTCATTTGCCAATAGAGAAGTGTTTAGTTTCCAGAAGCCAGCTCCTCTTCCACTTGATTCGATTTCTTCAAGTTCTAAAAAAATAGCGGAATGGTCTGTTTTGATCGAGGGTATGATATCGACCTTATTTACCAAATCATGTAATTTATCGGATATTAGCCAGTAATCTAGTCGGCAAAATATAAAAGGTGAACAACGCCCCCAGGTAAAGCTTTGCAATGTTGGGTTTTTAGGCGCCAAATGTCGTGCAGACTGAATTCATTTTGCAATTCATCTATAGAGTTGATTACATATTTTCGAGGAATCGGTAAACCACCTTTTTGTCAAGCGTGATGTCGAGAGGACAATTAAAATCTCCACCTATAATAATGTTTTCTTCATTACCAAATTCGTCCTTTCTTAATAATTTTGATAAATTACGATAAAACTTGACAGCATCGGCGTCTTTGTTTGGGCCATATATGTTTGCAATTATGTATATCTCATTGTTAATAGCAGCTTTTAGAACAATAAACCTGCCATCCGAACTTATTTCACTTTGTTGAATAATAATGTTCAAACTATTCTTTATGAGAATTGCAACACCTCTAGCATTTGTACTGCCGTGTGAAAATAAAATAGAAGCGCCCCACTCTTTTCGCCACTGATCCTGTCGTTCTGTTGTGGAATGAGTTTCTTGTAAAAATATTAAATCGGCTTTTTGCTTTCTACACCAGGAAAAAATTGCCCTACGTTTATGAAAGTTGCTTAGGCCTCTAACATTCAAGGAAAGAAATTTGATGCTTTCAGGCTTAGCTTTCGAATTATGCATTCTTAATGCAAGAATAATTAAGTGTTATCACATTTATAATAGGTGCTATTTGCTCGGAAAATGAATAGAATAGCAAAACAAATGTAAAAGTATTAAGAGAATAATTTAAGTTTTGAACAAGAAGTACAACACAGACACAAAACAACAACACACAAAATATACAAACAAACGAAAGCGCACTTACCATCTCGGTTGCTGCACACTTTCGCCGAGATCTCCATGGCAAATGGTTGTATTATACTATGGTATTAAAAGTGACAAGCAGTTTTGCCTGCGCCGAAATTGTAAACAAAACTATAAATCATACAGTTCATTTAGCTATAAATACAATTACGCAGTATATAATGACAACAAAACAGCAACATAAGGATTACTCATGTCTGATTTTAAAGGACTTGAGACCTTCAGAATCGATTTCTTTTATACAGTATCTGCGCGGGAACTGACCATGGGATGAACGCGAACTGGACTCCTTCTCTTTCTTTAAGTTGCTTTAAATGATCTTTTCGTAGTTTGGCTCTTTCACTTCGAACTGATTTTGACACGTCGTCGGATATGAATATCTGACTGTCGCAGAAAGGGTTATCTTTCAGGGTGTTCGCTGCAGCCTTTAAAATTCGTCCTTTATCAGGATATCTAAGTAAGTAGACATGGATAGGCCTTGACTGCGGAGCGGTAGCGCTCGCAGCCGCTTGGTTGATCTTCGTACGGTGCGCTCGCATGACTTCAATATTATCGAGGCCCATGTGCTTACTGAAAAGTTCTTCCTCTAAGAATTCTTCTACGGAGCTGCAATCTTTTTCGGCGCCTTCCTTTAAACCCCATATAACCACGTTGTTCCTCTTGGACCTGTTCTCCAAGTCTTCAATTTTTTTGTTCAGGGCGTCTATCTCTTTGCGGTTCGCCTTCTCTGCAAGAGCGCTTTTAACCTCGGTCACATCGTGGTCTAAAAGTTTATAACTATCTTTCAATTCGTCGACATCCTGAGCGGTTTTCTTTTGACTTTTTTCCAAACTTTCTAGCTTCATCAGGATGGCGTTCAACTTCGACTCTTGTTCATCTTTAGCGGCGAGCAATTCGTCCATCTTCGCAAGTACTGCGTCTAGCTTCGCTTCAGTGTCGGGCATTTCGGTTCGTTGCTTTGCTTTCGACCTTGTTCGTCTAGCAGACATTCGCTTGTCACCAATTAAGAAACTCAAAATATTATAACGCGGTCATAGTAACCTATTAAGGATCAAAATTTTGAAAGTTTCATGGAGAGAGCTCGGAGCCGCGTCCGTTCAGCTTGGTGTCATCACGTGACTCCCAAATCATCGGCAACTTAAGATGGCGCGTGACAAAGAGAAATTGGAAAGCATTGATTCAACTCTATCCCTAGATCTGCTGCGACTAGTTAATCAATTGAGAGACAAGGGCGCAAGTTCTTGGTTAAATGCAATGTTTTTCGCAGATCAGGGCTTAGCCCTTAATAAACAGGAGTTTAGAGACTCGCTACGCTTACGGTATAATTTGTCTCTAGTCAATCTACAAAGTCTATGTGTGTGGGGATAAATTTACTGTAGGCCATGCCCTCTCATGTAAAAAGGAGGGCTTTGTAGCGCGGAGACATGATGGTGTCCGTGATTTATTAACGGCATTCATCAATAAGGTCTGCAACAAAGTGGAAATTGAACCACGCCTTCAACCCCTCGACAACGAACGGCTACATTTGAGAGGTGCCGTCACAAGCTCTGAGGCAAGATTAGACATCAAGGCGGGAGGTTTCTGGTCAAGAGGAATTACGGCATTTTTCGATGTAAGAGTTACGCACGTTAACTCCAAGTGTTACCAAAACAAGACAACATCTGAAGTATTCAAGGAGCAAGAGGACGAGAAGAAACGCAAGTACCAGCAGCGGGTACTAGATGTAGAGATTGGTTCATTCACACCTTTAGTGTCTGGAACCAATGGCGGAATGGGATATGAGTTTCAGCGTTTCCAGAAGCATCTTGCAGATAAGATAGCTCAGAAGGACACCGAGCCGTATAACACCGTTATCGCATGGCTCAGGACACAAATCTCGTTCGAATTTCTAAGATTGGTACACGCATGCGTGAGAGGTTCACGAACGCCTTTTGACAGCAAGATAGAACACTCTTTAGACTGCAAAATAAACGTCGCCACCGCGGGCATCTAGAGGTTTTTTTTTTTTTTTTCTTTTTTTTTTTCGGCAATTTTCAAGCTAAATGCTTTTGTATTATTCATGATTTTGAATTTATATGAAATTTCGTATATTAATTTTATCAATTGTATTTTGTAAATAATCTTGAATTGTGAATAAAGTTATTAATTTTAGATAAAAGATTTTGGAAATAATCAGGAATGTTTTGGTCTTTACCTTCGCGCTCTCTGACTGTTTGCAGGCGTACAGTATTTTCCACCTATTGAAAAATCCTTAATTCATCAAGGCACATACATTATAAATGTTTTCTTCTTACACACAGGCTACATGCACAAACTTATTCCAGACACGTGCTAATGTGCTAATTTGTAACAGTGTCTTCTCACGCCTATCGTTATTTAGAACTAAAAGAAATTCAAATACGAACACTTTAAATTAAGAAACGTACCTCTACCACAGCTTTTACAAAAATTTGCATCTTCATCAACCTCCGAACCACACGCGGTGCAAAACATCGTGAGCTCGAAAAATGGCGGTTTTCGAGCGAGCAGTGTGTTATTGTTACACGACCTATCATTTCAGATGCAAATAACAACCGCTGACCAACCAATGACCAACTCATTTTCTTTGTTTTGCCGTGAGTAAAGTTTGTAGTGCCGTGACTTTTTGTTTTGCCGTGACAGTTTTGGGCCACCGTAGAATTATGTATGGAAATTTTTGCGTGCGCGTTTGGGTTGGACCATCCTGTGACGTTGCATGATGTATCATTCGTGCCACAAACAGGGCGTGCGTGCGGGTGTAAATTACAGAAGTGTTATCAGAGTATAATGGGAAACAGCTGTTAAAATCAAGTTCTCAGGAAATAGCTTGGGATTTTAGTAAACCAAAAATAAGTTATGTCAATCTTCGTTATACAAGTAGTTTAGACGTGTATTTTCGTTGTAATAGCAGATAAATAGAAGGTAGAAAGTTCGGATAACTCCAAGAAATCAGAGAGATACAGTCTTATTGATTGTCGAAGCAGCGCTCCGCATAGATTTTCCTTAACGCATTGGAGAAATCTACAACACAGCTATTTGAAAAGTGAAGCTCAACCAATTCAGTACTGAAAAGCAATGGCAACAACACGTGGTAAAGGTTCCTCACTACCTCATTCGAAAGATGGAAAAAGGGATAAGCGCCATCATTCCGGTAGAAAGTGGTACTTCGCAAAAGTAGAAACGGAGAGGTACGCACGCTGCACCACCATAATAAATCACCTATTCTATCACAGGACGGCACTGATCCTGGGTCTGTTGTTCAGATGAAGCCCGCGGTTGGAGATCTAAGGAAACTCGAGGTACATTTTGAGCTCTGAACATTTTAAGCTTCAGTTAGAAGGAAAGAGTATTTTTCTCGCAAGAAAGATCTCTTGAGTTTGCACGAGTGAAAGATCATTTTTTGCCATACGGTTGAAAAATAAGTTTGAGGAAAAGAAAATTGTTCTCACTTCTTAGATTAGCCGTATTCAGGTATGGTTAGTTTGTATTCTGAAAGTATTTACTTTGGCTTCCAAAAAGTCCCCACTCAGTTTAGCTGGCCTGTCTATGACAATGGATTTCCCAGCTTTTGGCTTTTTTTTTAATCTTACTCTGACCATGCACTCTTTATATTTTTGCTACCTACATACCGTATTTAAAGAAAACAACTTTGCCTTAGTTTTGGTGGCTTATATGACATTTCCCATGCAAATCTGAAGCGTTTTGCAATGCGGGCACAATAGCAATTATTCTGCTAACACATTCCAAAAGTACCGCCGGAAAGTTCCGCTTTCGGACTCCTTCTGCTAATTCTTGGTTTTCACCACGTGACCCATACCTTGACAACGGTTGCTACGCCGCCATATTGGTGTCGTATAATTCAAACATTTCGCGTGTTATCAAAGCTTTAGAAATATTTTTCATCATGGTTCATTGTATTATGGTGATTGTTTTCATAATAGTGGAAAGACGAAAGGTATAGGGTTTTATAGGATTCCAGTAGTAGGCACTAACCAAGGAGAAAAAGCAGAAGAGCTAAGCAGAGAACGAAGAGAAAGATGGATCGCCGCCATTAGCCGCGACGACATCACTTCGAAGGATGTCCTCAGTAATGAAAGAGTCTGTGGACGACATTTCGTGTCAGGGCAATCTGCAAAACCCTGGGATAAGTACAACGTCGACTGGGTTCCTACTTTGAATCTCGGGAAGACAAAATATCAACAGGAAAACCACGACATTAAAGAGGCAAGAGCTAAACGAGCGAAGGAACGCCGCAAAAGATCACTCGAGCGTCAAGAACGCGAGGTAGCTGAGAAACGAAAGAAAATCGATGTCAGTGGCCTTCCCGTCCGTGATATGGATTTCAGTGATCCTAAAGAAGGATCTTCCAAGGAAATTGATTCTTCTGAGGATATTTTTGATCACGATTGCGCATTTCAAGACCACACCTGCTCAACTCTCGTTGACAGTTCAACTCAAACCCAAGTTGATGTATCTGAAGCTATGACTCAAACCGAAGAGTTTGAATACCTTTTCAAAGAATCATATAAGCCAATTGATCGAGATTTTTTTGATTCTGATGAAAAAGTTCGCTTTTATTCTGGACTGCCTTCAATGGATATCTTAATGACTGTCCTTGACTTTATGTCACCCCACATCAAACGAAGAACCCAAACACTTAGCCTTTTCCAGGAAATGATTATCGTGCTGATGAAAGTGAGACTGAATATACCTTATCAAGACTTAGCCTATCGTTTTCAAGTATCTGTGACAACAATATCAAGAATATTTTCATCATGGTTACCAGTGATGGATCAGCATTTGTCCCCACTTATTTACTGGCCTGAAAGACACCAGCTATGGAAGACAATGCCTTTTTGTTTCCAACAAGCCTTTGGAACCAAAGTCACTGTTGTTATTGACTGTTTTGAGATTTTTATTGATAAGCCTACAAACTTGTTAGCTCGAGCTCAGACATTTTCATCCTACTAGCATCACAATACTATCAAAGTACTGATTGGTATTTCTCCCCAAGGAGCTATTTCCTTTGTGTCAGAGGCATGGGGAGGACGTACCTCTGATAAGTTCTTGACAGAAAACTGCGGCATTCTTGAAAAACTTTTGCCAGGTGACATGGTTATGGCAGACCGGGGTTTCACAATCACAGAAAGTGTTGCTCTCAAACAGGCAAGACTCGTGATACCAGCCTACACGAAAGGGAGGGAACAGCTGGATCCTATTGATGTGGAAAAAACAAGAGCTCTAGCAAGTGTACGGATACATGTTGAAAGGGTGATTGGTTTGCTGCGTCGCAAGTATACCATTCTTTAAAGCACTCTTCCCACTGGTTTCTTGAACAATGACAATGGACAGGATGAAGTACCAATTATTGACAGAATTATTAAAGTATGTTCAGCTCTTGTAAACCTGTGTCCACCCATTGTACCATTTGATTAGCTCCATACTTCATACAGTACTATTATAGTCATATACTGTAGCTAATGAAATGATATGATGGGGTGGAGAGTCTGTGTATAATTTAAGAAATATTATAACCCCATGAAAAGAGAGCAAGTGAATGGAAATGAGCACTGTGTAAGATCAATAATTTAAAAAAATAAACTTCCATTACAAGAAGGATCGACAGCAATGACACCAACATTTTATTTGTGCTGTGATATTACATATATTTACAGAAATTATATGAATTAAAATATAAATTATGTTTGCAGGGGGCAGTAAGGACTGTTTATTGAGCACAGCTGCTTAAAATAGCTTGAGTTCATTATTCTTCTTGGATTTTTTTTTTAATGACTGCTACTCTTGAGATTAGCATGAAACAACAAAACAAAATTGTTTAGTGTAAAATGTATAAAAAAAATGTGGAAAAACTTTGATTTCACCAGCTCTCAAACATTCAAGTAAATGTGGTCTCATTCTTGGGATGTCAAAAATAATTGTTTGCAAAACATAATTTCAAACAGGTGCAGCAATTTCATGCTTCCTGGTGTACCATCTTCCAAAGATTTCAGGTAGGATACAAGATCTCCACACTTTGGTGAGTTTTGGTAGAACTGATCCCCAGTGTGAAATGTCCTTGTAAATTCTCTCCAAGAAAAACCTTGTTTGATTGTTATTGTCAAAAGAGCACACAACAAAGTCACAATACTGAGAGTCTGTGATAAACAACTGTTGCTGTACTTGAAAAAAGTACTGGTGATTTCTCTTGAGCTGTACCTTTCCATTGACCTTTTCAAGACATGAATTCTTCTTTTCCACATAACTTTCAAGGTCACAGTTTTCAATGTTGTAAGGACATTTGACTTCTCCACAACCATTCCCACAGCATGAACATGATACCAAAAAATCTGGAGTAGCATTTATCCAGGGGTGCTGTTTATCCACTATCATACCACATTGTTCAACTTTCGGATCTCTGTGAGTCTCTAGCATAGTTTTGGTATAAGCATTCACTGCAGCACTCTCATTCTTACGGCCATGACTGATTGCTTTAGTAGTAACTTTGAACAGATCAGGATATGAGATGGACTTGATTAAGGATTGTGATGGCATAGCAGGGTTAGTATGAGCTACTGCCCAACTCAGAGATGCACCAATGCGCCCAGCCCTGTGCCTGAAAAATGCATTTCCTTTAGCCTGTTCCCTGGTGTCTTCCTCAATTAATTCTACCAATGATTCTTAAATAGTCAGATCAATATTTTCACACTTTTCTAGGAGTTCTGGATATGACAAGTCAAAATTACATGGATCAAAAAGGTCAGAAATGGTTGGGATGCTTCTACTTTTCATGATAAACTGTTCAGAATAGGGTTCAATCAAGCTTAAGGCAACAGGTTTGAACTTACTCTCATTTAGTTTGGCAAGCAACGTCATGCTGTGACGTCACGTGAAAACCAAGAATAGATCTATTGTCTTTGGATGAAGCGGCGATGCAAATTTCCCTTTCGTAAACGGTCGTTGCCATTTGAAACGGTCGATGCCAATTCTCAGAACGGTCGTTGCCAATTCTCAGAACGGTCGTTGCCATTTGAAACTGTCGATACCATTTCTCGGAACGGTCGTTGCCATTGAAAACGGTTGATGCCATTTCTCATGACGGTCGATGCCATCGTAAAGGTCGATGCCGAGAAGGAACCGATATTTCCGACTCTCTCCGACGACATGCGTGACAATCAGAGCAATGCGTGACTAGCTTTCCCACAAACCATCGCGATTTTTATCAAATCAAAATGGCGGACAAACCCGACAATTTTCTCAAAGATCTAATATCTTCAGCTATAAAAGAAGTCGAATCGAAAGAAAATCTTTTGAATCGACCCAAATTATAAAGGAGAGTTTTCTGGCTTCGCTTCCAGAAGATTCATTTTACTAACTGAAGGCAATTTCAGGAAATGGAGAAAAGTTCAAAGTGCACTTTTTGACCGAAGATATAACGAAAGAAAACCTGGAGCAATGGATATCCGAATATGAAGTGATAAACAGCATCTCAGTGAAGTTAAAGACAAAGAAGGCACCAACAAGCGGCTATGTGTTGCAAAACTACTATAGATGCCAACACAACACTCGCAACTGGAGTCCAAGTAAAGATCCACAGCAGAAATTGTACTTGAATCCATCTGCCAGAGTAAAGAACACCAATTGCCCCTTTCAGATGAAAGTCAAAATAGACAGCGAGGGATGTTGTTCTGTGGACATAGAGTGGGACCACAACCATTCACTTGAAACTCTGGAGACCTCTAATTTCCGTGACCTTTCTCCTGAGTGCACAGAAAGGGTTTTGAAGCTGTTTGAAAGTGGGCATACACCAGCAACCGCAAGGCAACAGTACTTGAAAGAACTCAAAGAATCATGTCAGGAGGAATTAGAATTTCACAGGAAAAAGGCCAATCGGGCAGTTATGCCAAGCAAAAGGGACTTTAGTTACCTCTACACGCAATTTGGTAAGGAAAGGTATGGTGGACGGGGCGTTATGATGTTTGAAAGACTTGCCGAAAGGCTTGAACAATACAAGAAAGACAACCCTGAAGCTACTACTTGTTACCAGATATATGAAGGTGATAATACGCCTCTTATAATTGCTATTGTAACGCCTCTCATGAACCGTGTACACAAGGAAGTGCAGCAGTCTGGTGAGATGGTTTTTGTTGATGCTACTTCTAATACAGAAGAGCACAATCTTAAAGTGTTTTTAATGTGCACAAACAATGTATCTGGAGCACTTCCACTTGGCATCTTGATCACCAGTGATGAGCAGGAGCGTACACTTAAACAGGGCTTTGAAATGCTTCGGTCCTGTTTACCAGAGTATGCATTCAATGATCGTGGTTGGGAACAAGGCCCCCAAGTCATCCTTACAGACAACTGTAAAGAGGAAAGAAATGCTCTGAAATCTTGGTTCTTAAGGATGTAATTCTGCAGCGCACCAAAGAGTACAATGTTGTTGGGCTTCTAGACAAGCTGACTATTGATCTAGAAGATCACTACAAGAATAAGCTTCTTAGTATTGCTGATGGGAGTTTTAATGGCGTGTACAGACATCGATTCTTTGGCAAAGGGAAAGCCGGAAGCACAGGGTTTAAAGTCCCCGATAAAAAAGATCTTGATGCCTACCTCTCAACTGTAGAGAACTTTGGCAATAATGTATTCAAAGTTGGAAGCTCTTCAGATAGCAGTCACAGGTCAGTAGTGTTTTTTCTTAGCCGTCGCAATAGCATAACGCTCTGATGGTACAAGAGGGCATGTGTGGGTAGGCATTATTTTCCTATCTTTCCCCCATTGTCTGATTCAAATTATCTTGATAGGGGAAGCAGTGCAGGGGGGGGCAGTGTTTCTAGGCTCCTCCCTTTGGAGCAAAAAAAATACATAAAACATGGGGACATAACATGCATAACATATGAGATACATGTAATTCCTGCAGTTCATCCATATGCTGCATTCCAAGGATGTTGATTTAGCATAAGGAAGACCAAAACACGAGTAATATATTGTTCAGGGGGTGGGGTACCTTTAGTAATTTCCATTCTTGGCAGGGTATTGAGTTTTTTATAGCAGAGTAAGAGCAAGTCCTTACTATGCTGTTAGGAATGTATCTATTACAGATTGAAAAAACAAAAATTCCAGTTGTATTGAGATATTTATGAATTGTCTCATTGGTTCTTTGTCAGTTATACAGTGGATATGACTCTTGGGATATGTACCTGCACGGTTGGTAAAGACTGGAGCCCATGCAAACACCAGTATGTCCTGTGGGTGGCAAATCTAGCAGACTGCATAAACTTTATTCCAGTCAGTAATCCACATGAGAGACAGAAATTGGCCTGGCTAGCAATAGGAAAGACACTTCCTGCTGCTTGTTATAAGCCATTACGTTCTAGTGATGCTGGACAAACATCACAAACTGATGGTTCTAAATGTTTTGTAACAGAGGCATCCACTAGTATGGAAACAGCACAACAAGGGCCAAACTGCTCAACTGCTGAACCAATACAGAGCAATGATGATGAGGATGAACATTCCACTAAACCAATACAAAGCAATGATGATGATGAGGATGATTCCATTGCAAATGCTGAAAAATTGTTGAGAAACTCTTGTGAACAAATAATTCAAAAGCTCCAAAGCTCAAGAGACCTTAATTTGGCTAAAGGTGTACTCAGGTTCGCAAAAAGGGTAACATCCTTAACCACTGCTAGATCTATGCATTCTAATTTGGCAAGCGCTCTTATTTCTTTTGGGTCCAGTGAGGTGAAAAAAACCGGAAATGGAAAAAAGATCCGAGTCCAGCCCAACATCAGGTATCTTATCTACCTAAAAGCTACTTATGAACAAAAAACGAAAGAAAGCGATTTTTCAACTCTTGCCACGAAATTAAGATTTTGGTCGATATTTCCTGACCGTCGCTCTTAAGAATTGTGAAATGATTCAAACACACTAAGTCAAAGTCACAAGGTAAATTGCCGAAGTACAGTAGTCTTTTTCAAAATTTTTAATATAAAGGGGAGCAAATATGCTCATTTGGCTTTTTTCTTTACTTGACATAAGATTTCCCCATTTCACTGGAGACGATGTCCTTCAGCCGTTTGTGAGCACCGTCAAAAAGGGGAAGGCAAGTGCCGAATTCATGACACTCGTCGAAAGAGCCCTTCAAGCTGAGGTGGCAGAAGAAGACAATGGTATAAGTGAACGACAGTTCATGCAACTTAATAAACGGCGATATTAGGTGTAAGCTGTTTAGG